TGTTCAGCCATCGTCAGAGCTAAGTTGGATCAGGGTATGACTTAATTTCCCTGCCGATGCCTCCCAAGTTCCTCAGGTAAGAACAGAAGTAATCTTAAGTTATTTAGCCCAACCTCTTGTCTCAGACTTGGATATCCTCTGGCCCATTCCCTCCTGGGTCCACTCTAACTATTATAAAGTTCTTTATAATGCATCAAGAATCCATCTTCCTATAATTTCTAGCCTTTTGTTCCTAAATCCTGGTGAGTACTGCAAGATTAGTTCTTCCATAGGACAGTCTTTTATTACGCTTTTAAATATTTGAAAATATCCATTTCCCTGGGCTAAAACATCTACTTTTCTACCATCACAATTCTTTCAGAACTCAGATCAGGTTTTGTTTCTTAGAAGCGCTGTAAACTTTCTACCTAATTTCTTTTCAAATTCCTATTAACCTGCTGAGCGGCTACACACACTCAATTCACTTCCTACTTAAAGCCAGACCTCATCCAGTGAAGAAAAGAACCCAATGGGAAGATGCCGAGACAGAGGCCAGGGGAACACAGGGAGGTGATGCAGAAAGTCAGTGGTGGGCATGGGAACAGAGCCCTGGGTTCCTGGCCCTTCATTTCCAGAAGACACTACTTATTATATACAGGGTGAGCAGAAAGTCTGATGTGGTAGCGCTGGTTGTAGATCTGAGGACACTGGAGTTACCCAGATGCTGGAATTCCAACTGCAGTCTGCAAGGGGCGGTTTTTCTTGGAAGTCCTCTTTTAGGGAAGGGACTCAGGGTCCTGCTCTTTTAGGATGTACCAGTTGAAGTGATAAACTTAATATCTAAATCACGGTTCTTGGAAATCCCATCTTTGGGTCTAGGACCAGTTCCCTGGACAACCCTAGAGTCTGTCCCAAGGTTTCCTGGGCCCCACAAAACCCTAAAGTATGTCTCAAGGTTTCCTGGACTAGAGAGAGGGAACTTTCCCTGAACATCCCAGAAACTCTTGACCCTGGCAGCAGCATTTGGGATTCTTGGGTTCTGTTGCTGCCCTATGTCATAGCCTCCCATCTGGATTGATGCTCATCCAGAGGGGGCCTCCAGACCCAGAAACTGAACCCACCTGGGTACTTGTCGATCCCTGCCCAGGAGCATGGCTTTAATAATGCTCCACGAGGAGAGTTTCCTTGGGGACAGGAGGTGACTTGTTTCTCCTCTTGGTCTTACTCCAGAGACATCTCCCAGAACTAAATGCCTAGAAGCCCAGCCACTGAGGCCTGCAGAGCCAAGTAGGAGTGCAGGTGTGCTGCTGCTCTGGGATCCCAAGAGCCAAGTCAATGCCAAGTCTAACCAAGGAGTCTCTGACCCTGGAGTTAGAGCTTAGGCAGACAGGAGCCGAGAAGCATGTCAGAAAACATCATGCCCCAAACCTTAGCCACAAACTAGACGTTCTGCCCTGGCAGGAGATGCTGGGTAGAGGAAGGGGCAGAGGTCACCTGCAGAGCATGAATAAGGAAGGAAGCCAGTGCCCAATCATAACCTGAGTACCAGCCCCTCCAGCTTTCCATCTGTCCTGCTGCTTCAGACCAAGTGTAGTAGTAATAACTCCACCCCTGGGGGATGCTGAGACCTGTCAGGGAGACTCAGGTCCTGCAAGGTTGGGTAACAACTAGGCAGGTGGCAGTGCTAGGCTGGGGGCCACTATCCTTTGCCTACCTATCTATTCAGCATTTTGTATCAATATTTGGCCACATCACGGTTCTTGGAAATCCCATCTTTGGGTCTAGGACCAGTTCCCTGGACAACCCTAGAGTCTGTCCCAAGGTTTCCTGGGCCCCACAAGCCGGAGTCCTGCCTGGCTGGGAAATGCAGGCCGCAGCCATTACTGCAGCCTCAGCTCACACACCCAGGGAGCTCATCTTCCCTTTTTTGAGAGAGATTTTAACTCCTTCTCCACCACTCCCCTGGCACAGAAAGACTATAGTAATTGCCCTCCTTAGTTTTGACTCCCGGATGCCCCCGGAGCCACTCTCTGCCATGTCCCCAAGTGGGTAGCGCCCCTGCAATTCATCCTCTGGTAGAGAGTACCTCCTCTTGCAACTTCTGAGACAGGCGAAGACTCCAAACTCCCTTTACGGTGCCATCCTCTCTGGACCCCCAGCGACACCACGGTCCCGGAGAGGTTCCGGGAAGGAGGAGTCTGGGTCTGAGCCAAGGGCCTCAGCTGACTCCTCTGTCCCTGGGGACTACCTCCCCTCTACGCGGTGGGGTCGGGGCATCATCTATCAAAATGGGATGGAGCCCTCAGGGTGGGACTGGGTAGGCCCAGGCCCCCTCCCAAGCAGCTCAGACCGCCTGTCCCGTGACGCTCCTTGCGCGGGGCGGAAAGGCCCGGGCACTTTCGCCCCGTCATGCCCCCTTGCAAGGGGGCCTGTCTCAGCCCGCAGCGGGTCCCAGGTGCCTGGAGACCCCCCTCTGTGCCGCCAACCCCAGAGCGCCACCCATCTCCTGGATCCCCTCCCCCTGCCCCCAGCTGTGCCATCCTGGCTCAGGAGGGAGAGCGGGTCGCGTGCCACTCGGGTCCCCCACCGGCCGTGCTAGGCCCCAAGCGCCCGGGGCCGGCTCCTCCCCCGCCCGACACCCGGCGGTGCCCGGCCATGCCAGGCGGCGACCCGGGTTTCCCAGCGCGCAGTGCAGGCGGAGACAGGCCAGACCCTCGGCCCGCGCCCGGGCCCCGCGCCACGCGCCCTCGTACCGCGATCACGTTGACGAAGGTGGTCTTGCCCGAGTACTGCAGCCCGACCAGCGTGAGCTCCATCTCCTCCTTCCAGAACAGGGCCTTGAACCAGTCCAGCAGTTTATTGAACAAAGCGATCATGGTCGCTGCCGCCGGCCCCGCCCGGTGCCGGGTCCCCGCCGCCCCTCGTTGCCCTCGCGCTGCGGCCCGGAGCGGCCCCTCCCCGGTGCGGCCCGGGTCCCGCTGCTCGGTGCGGGCGGAGGCTCGAGCGCGGCGGCCGACGACTTGCTGCCCCCGGATCCGCTCGCCGATGGGTGTGGCTTCAGCGCCCTCCTCCTCCTCCGCTGCCGCCGCCGCCGCCGCCCTCCCGCGGGCCGGGCAGCGTCCTGCTCGCACCCGAGCGCGCGCTCCTCCCTCGCCCGCAGCCAGGGGCCGACGCCCGCGAGCGGTGGGCGGGGAAGCCGGGGCTGCGAGGGTAGGGGTTGACTGGCAGCGACGAGGCCGGGCGCTCGGGAGAGGAGGCGAATTTTATTTTCTCTCTCTTCTTGGGCCACTGAGCGCTTATTGCCACTCCTTCGTTCTTCAAGGGTGGTGGTCCTGATGCGGGTGAGGTGCCACTAAGCAACAGCGTCTCCAGTTTGAAGAAAGGGGTGCTGGTGTCGCCCACTTTCCAGGACACAAAGATGAGATCTCTAGGAAAGGGAGGCAATGGAGGCTTTTTGTTTCTTAATCCCTGCTTCTCAATATCCCTGGGTACTGAGTCCCCTCCTCTAAAATGTACCCAGGGGAGAGTAACAGCCACATTTGGGTCTTTTAATACTCCATCTTGTTTTGTTAACCACAACTTGCCCAGGCTACTTGTTCAGGAGGGCCTCTGGTCCAAAGTGAAATAGATGTTTGAACTTAATGCTGATTATTGCTAGTATCATGACGACAATGAAACAGACAAAAATCCTGGCAGGGGATCCCCAGTGAGGAACATCTGTGGCAAAGGGAAATATGTGCTGTTTTGGTAAAAAGTAAAGTTTTCTTCCAGAGCAGAACTGATGGTGGTGTAGGACCGCAGAGACGCCTCCACTCCTCTCTTGCAGGAACTAACCACCAGGCCTGCTCACCCAGCCAGCTGGACCTCACTAGTCCCCAGCTTCAGGGCAGTTCCCAGCTTCTGTTGGATGCTCCTTTGAATTTGATTTCCAAGAATACTCCTATGGAGTCTACTCTCTCAATCAAAGGCAAATAAACTCTCAACATCAATCATATCCATCAAACCTACCCAAGAGTTAGATGACCCCAACTGACCAAATAGTTGCCAAAGTGGAGGAATCCCCACCTTAGACCAGTATAACATTCTGGTTTATTAAGCACTGTCTGTCTAGTCTGTACCTTTTATAAGTCTCCCTTTAGCTCCTAATGTACTTGATATGCTGAATGACTGAATATATCTCCCCCAAATTAATATGTCGAAATCCTAATCTCCCAAGTGATGGTATTAGGAGGTGGGGCCTGGGATTAAGTCATGAGGTGGAGCCCTACTAGATAGGATTAATGTCCTTATAAAAGAGGAGAGAGAGAGAGGGAGGAGAGAGAGAGAGAGAGAGAGAGAGAGAGAACAAACACGTGCAGTCTAGCCCAGAGCCTATGCCCCTTCCACCAGGCAAGGAAACAGAAGGCTCTGCTTATGAGCCAGAATGTGGGTCCTAACCAAAAACTGAATCTATAAGCACATTGATCTTGGACTTCCTATTATTCAGAACATTGAGAAACAAATTTCTTGAATTTGTGTTTGTGTTTGTGCTTGTGTGGTGCTGGGATTGACTACAAGGCCTTGTATGTGCTAGCAAGCAACCTACCACTGAGCTACATCCTCAGCCCCAGTTTCTTTCTTTCTTTTTAATTTTTTTTTAGTTGTAGTTGGACAAAATACCTTTATTTTATTTATTTATTTTTATGCAGTGCTGAGGATCGAACCCAGCACCTCGCACATACTAGGCAAGCACACAACCGCTGAGCCACAACCCCAGCCCCTCAGCCCCAGTTTCTGTTGTTTAAATAACCACCCAGTTTGAGCTATTTTGCTATAGCAGCCTGGTCAGGCTAAGATAGCATACCTAGGTCTCATTTCCTAAATTGATTTACAGTTGCACTTTGTTTCCTATCCTTGGAAGGGCTAGAAAAATGAGCATCCCAGGGGTAAAGATTGCTGCAGCCTGTAACTGGTCTGTGGAGTAAACTGTATTGCTATAAAGAGCCCCAGAGGCTTGAGAAGATGGAAAGAAGGAATCAGTCAGTCATCCAACAAGTCTTTATTTTTTCCACTTGGTTACTTCTCCAGAGCTGGTACCCTCTGAGATCTGGAGCAAGGTTACTCACAGTGCAGAAGGGTGCCCTTGGGTGCTATGCCATTGCTTTCCTCCAGACTGGGTCTGAGCTCAGGGCAGGATCAGGCACTTGAGAGCCCTCCACCTCGCTTGGGTGGCACAGATGGTGGTGCCTCTCACAGGGCTCTGGAAGGTGGAGGTATAGGTGAGCCCACTCCAGGCCTATGAAGAATGAAGGGACTTCTCCATAAGGCCAAGCAGAAGCATGAAGAAAATGAACCTCAACAGCAGCACTACATGTCCTTTAAAAGAGACATCATGAGAGGGGAGCCCAGCTGCTTTCTGGGACCAGCTCCTTGGGGTTTTCACGGAGAATGGTGTTTTACTACCATCATCCTCAGAGTCAAGAAAGGCTCAGGGTTTGGGTACCTTCCTGAGATTTTGTAGTTGAGCCCTGAGATAAATCTGGGTTGCCCTGGAAATCGTGTTGAGATGAATGGTGATTAGTTCTCTGGGGTAGATATGAGGGGTTGCAATTCAGTGTGAGCCCGTCTGTCTGTACGGGGTGGTTGGAACTCAGAATGTTCTGGAAACAGCCAAGCTCTCCAGATGTACTCTGCAAATGCAGGGCGTGGAGTATATGGTGGGGGTGGGGGTTTTTGAATCAGATGGAGTTCTTTGTCTCCTCCTGTCTCCTCTTTCTTTGGTGCTTCCTGGGCACCCAGGGTATCTTCTGAGGTCATAGAGCAAAGCAGAGAGTGTTGGGGCTCCACAGAAAGTAGATGGGTAAGTGGCAGGCAGTTATGTAGGTAGGGGCAGCCTTCTTGGCCTCTGATTTGTCCCCACATATTCTCTCTTTCAGAGGTTTCAACTGACATGCCTGATCATCGCTGTAGCCTCCTCTCAGGATACATGCATGGAAACAGGAATCACCTGGGTCTTTGTTCACCTTCGAGTGGGTCATCCAGCACTCACTGATGCATAGGGTGGAGCAGGGAGCCTGCCAGGATGCTGAGAATCTGACTGAGGTCAGAACCAGACTTTTCCCAGCTCTTCATCTTGCCAGTGCTTAGGCAGGGCCTGGGTGGAGGATTATCTTGGAATCACCCTCTTGCCAGCCCCAGGAAAAGGAGAGACCACTGGAACAGCAGCTGGGAACTTCTCTGATTGCTTCCCTTATGACAGCAGAGCACTTTATGTCCATGACATAAATGAGAAGATTGAATGCTCACAAAGAGCATTTTCGGGAAGAACAACACACCTGGGCTTGTGTCTCAGTCTGTGCCAGCTCCTATCTTTAAGGTCAGAGATTTGAAGGCTCCTCTATTACCCATCTGGGGCCACTAGGGGAGGCAGAGGAGTGGCCAGTGGGGACACCTGAAGCCTGGCCTCCCATTCTTGCTGATTCAGCTTCCTGGAACCCTAAGTGCTCACTAATGGGGCATCCCTTCCCACTGTCATGCAGGGGGTACCCCAGATCCCACAGCCCACTTCCCCAAACCCAGGCCTGAAGGGCGGTTGGCACCTGGGCTGGTGGAGGGTGGCAGGGGTCAGGGGCTGGGTTCCTGGGGCAGCTGGGCTGCATATAGGGCCAAAGTGTGGTGCAGGAACTGGTATTGCTCCGCAGTCTGGATCATTCCTCCTCTGCAGGAAGAAACAGACCATGATCGAAGGAGGGACAAGGAGCCTGCTGAATGGCTGGGGTCAAACATCTCCCTGGTCTTACTGGGAAAGTCCTGTCTTTCTCCCTCCCCTGTGTTAATTTTACTACTTTCTATTCCTCCTTGAGGCCCCTCAAGCTTCCCCTCAAGAGAGGGAGGCTGGGTACTAAGGGGGAAGTACCCTACATTGACACTTGGTCTTCTCTGATCCATTTAGCTCCTGAGCAAAACCAAACTTCTGATTTCCTCAGGTTGGGTCAGGAATATCCCTGAGCCACAAGTTTTCCTTTCTAATAATCCTAAAAGTAAAAATAGTAATTCTGTGCATTTGTATAGCAGTTCCCGCTTTCCAAAATACTTTCATATAAATTCATATAAATTTTCATATAAATTAACCTATTCCTTTCAATAACACTCTGAGGATGAAGGAATGGGCCCAGAGAAATTTAGAGACAGCTCAGTAAGATGCAAGTGGGAATTTGGACACTGCTTCTCAATCTCTAAATCCAGTAAGCATCGGGACTTGCCCATGGCCACCTCATATCTAGAATCAACTGTATCTTTTTTTTTTTTTTTTTTCAAGCTCTCCCAAATAGGCATTTGGAAGAGGCTGGGGAATGCACGAGAAATTGAAGGGTCCTGGGAAGTCCATAGGGTGGCATATTTAATTCCAGGCCCCAAGCTAAAATTCCAAATAGAGATTCATTCCTGGATGTTAGCTGCAAAATAAACAGCTCTTAAGCCAAAGGGATCCTTTCCTTTCTTGAAAGAGTGCTTGATGGTGATTGTCTAGTGGTGCTGATGCCCAAGGGCCCTGGCCACTCATTAGCATGACTAGTCTTGTTTATCATGCACCCACCTGTCTAGCCGCAGTTGGCACACAATGCCCAGAATGTCCACTTCCCCTCGGGCCTTCAGCTGTTGGCAGCCAATTCGGGTGGCTATGAAGCAGCCTGTCCGGCCAATCCCTGCACTGGATATAACCAGAGAGAAGACGGGGAGGTCACAGGAGGGAAGAAGCAAGGGAGTAAGGTGAACAGGAAATGTGGGAGCCGGGTCCCAAATCTATGGACAAAAATGGGACCTGCTGGGTGTGGTGGTGCATGACTGTATTCCCAGTGACTCTGGAGGCTGAGGCAAGAGGATTGCAAGTTCAAAGCCAGCCTCAGCAACTTAGCAAGGCCCTAAGCAACTCAGTGAGACCTGTCTCTAAATAAAATATTAAAAAGGGCTGGGGATGTGGCTCAGTGGTTGAGTGTCCCTGGGTTCAATCCCTGGTACCAAACAAACAAACAAACAAAATGACCTGAAGGTGCTGTATTTGTGGGGCAGGATTCTGAGGATGGAACACTATACCCCAGCTTCCAGCACCTCTGGAGGAGTTTGCCTCTCTTTGCATTGGGGGAGATGAACCCAACGTCTCCTGCATGCTAAGCATGCGCTCTACCACTGAACCATGCCCCAGCCCTGAGCCTGCACTGCTCCTCAGCCTCACTCCAGGCCTAGTCCAGGTCACCTTCCGGTTCCTGTGGACATTGCAATGATCTCTTTTCTGCATAACAATCTACAACAGTTTCCAACTGACGGTGCCCCACTGTGGGCTGGCTGCCCCCTCAGGCCCTCCTTATCTGAATATGACTTCCTCCCAGTTTATACTCAGCCTCCACGGCTCCCTAGGCCTGCTCCCTCTACGCCTCCCTCCATTCCATCCACAGACCTCTTCTCTCTGCTGTGCGCTATCTTGCCCTTTATTTCAAAACCCTCTCCTTCCTTCTTGAACAACTCTTGCATGACCCCTGATAGAAACCACTAATGACACCCAGCACCTATATCCAGGGGTCACCTGTGGGTGAGCCCAGGAGGCCCCTCTAATTTATACTTTTTTGCCTGGATGTTGTTTTATTTCGGATGTCCACTCCCCAGTGGTCTCCTTGCTTTATCTGTCCCCTGTGTCACCCCCCACCCACTCCTACTTTCATTCTGTAGCCAAAGCATCCTTTTAAAATAGCAAATCTGAGCCAGGCTGGGTGGTGCATGCCTGGAACCTCAGCAAGTTTGGAAGACTGAGGCAGGAAGATCACAAATGTGAGGCCAGCCTGGGCAGCTTAGCAAGACCCTTAGAAGACCATGCCTCAAAAATAAAATAGAAAGGGCTGGTGATGTAGCTTGGTGGCAGAGCACTGGCCAGCATGTGGGAGGCGTTGGATTCAATCCCCAGTACCCAAACAAACAGAACCAAAAAGCCTCAAAGAAATAAAATGACAAATCCAAGGTCTTGGGTTCTATCCTTGGCACCTAAATAAATAAACAATAAAATAAACCCAAGTGTTTTAGTCAACCCTCTAAGGCTGCTCTTCACGTGGCCTTCACTTGCCTTCTGGAATCATCTCCCATCATTATTCCCACACGTAATGGCCCACCCTCTCACCCTCCCACCCTGCAGCCAGTAATGGACCAAGTTTTAAATTTCTTCTCTCGGCCTTTGCGTGTGCTGTTCCGTCTGCTTGGAATGCTTCCCCTGTCCCTTCTCACTTGATCATTTCCCTTACAGGTCCTAGGGTAGCTTAGCTGTCCTTCCTCTTGGAAAACCTCTGGTTAAAGTCTGAGTTAGGCAACCTGACTCTGCACTGCCCATCAGAGCTCTCACAGCATCGTGTTGTGTTTAGTTGTTTAATCTGCCATCATTCCCACCAGGCCCTAAAACTGTTAGGGAAGAATCCAAACTATTTCGGTTACTGTTACCTACTTAGAGTCTAACATTGTGCCTGACAATAAGAGGTTTTCGATAAATACATGTTGAATGATCCCCTAACAGCAGGGATTGTACATGTTTCCTTTTAATAGCCAACTAGGAGCTTCCCGATATTCTGACGCCTCTCTGCATTGTGCCCGGGTGTGCAGAGATGTCTGGGTTCTGCGGGAAGGAGGTAGTAAGAGCAGAACACTTGCTGAATGACACAGATTCCTGTCCAAGTAAGAACTAGGCCTGCCTGATGCTCTTCTGCTCCGACCCCCTTCCCAGACCCAGTGGGAGGGAGGGGAGCATGGGATCCAGGCCACGGTGGAAGCAGCGGTCCCCCACCTGCAGTGGACCACGATGGGCCCGGTGTTGGCAGCTGTCTCTGGGCTGTCCTCCACCTCAGCCACCAGGCGCAGCAGGGGCCCGGCTGATTCCGGCGTCTGGTGGTCAGGCCAGGCTGAGAAGAGGATGTGTTTAACTGAACGGCGTTCCTCCTGGTGCTGGGATAGAGACAAGGCGTAAGGACGGGGGCCGGGAGAGGGGCACTGCCCACCTTCTGTGGCGTTAGAGGAGGGCAGGGGCTACAATAACCCTGTGGGGGAGTCGTCAGCTCAGAGCGGGCAGGGCTGACTCTTCCAGCTCATCATCCCGCCACGCTAAACCCAGTGAAGGAGCATCATCCTGGGACAGGGAAAGACCCACGTTCAAGGCTTGACTCTGCCTCTGACTAGCACATAACCCCGTTTTCTTTGCCTAAAAAGTGGGAACGGTGATATATTGGTTTACTTCCTGGGATGCTTGGAAAATAATGAATCAACAAAGAAATATTTTGAAAAATGGAAAACACTATGCAATCATAGAAAACCTTTCTAAAGCACTTTCATGTGGACTGTTACACATCTCTTCCAACCTCCTCTCATTCCTTCAGCGCACTCTGGATCCTTCCTCTCCTTGCTGGACCACTCAGCAGGGGTAGAGTGGCTTCCTGTCCATTCCTATATGATTTGTTCCCTCTGTGCTATTAGACTAGGGGCTCCCTGAGGTCAGTGCCCAAGTCTCTCTTCTGTGGATCAAACGCCTCTTTTAGATGTGGGCTCAAGATTTGGATGAGCAAGCTTGGCTCCCAGCAAAGGTTGGGCCTGAGGCCCAGAGATGCTGGGGGTGGTCCAACTTCCCTGGGGTGGTACCTGGATGGTGAGCTGCCGCACAGTGTATTCTGGGCATTCTTTGGTATCCTGGATGCGTATCTGGAAGGGTCCATAGGTTTCCTCTTTTGTGGGCCAGTAGTGGACACATTTCTAGAAGGGAGGGAGCTAGGAGTCAGAAGGGGGGTGTCTATCAGCTGCAGCAGGGGTTGGGGAAGCTCTGAGGGGGCTGGTATCACCCTGCATATCCCATCTCCTCTGGGGAGGTCAGCAACTGGGACTTGGCTCTCCTGAGTTTGACCCTGCAGGCCAAGTATTCGTCCCATCTCATATTTTGGCCAAGACCCCGCTACCTGGAGAATAGCTCAGACAAGAGCCAGGGTTGCCTGTCAGTGTTCTTAGCTCCCAGGGAGCCTGTGGTGCCAAGCTGCCTGCATGGGGGTGTGTGAGTGTGTTGGGGCAGGATGTAGCCCTTTTGGGGGTTCACCAAGGACTGTGGCTCTGCCGCCTACCTCCTTGCCCTCTCGGAGCTGAGTGAGCATGACAATAAGGCACACTTCTTCTTGCCACACCATCTCCCAGAAGTCTGACACGGTGTTGGGCATGGGACCCTGGGTCGCGATATAGACCTTCTCCTGCCCATCGTAGCCCTGGGGAGGTGGGAGCACAGGGAGGCAGTGAGATCCGAGTGCCAGGGAAAGCCCAGGCTCTGCAGGTGCTGGATCAGGCTGAAGCCAGTGAACACACGCACGTGTACAAGCACACACACTCTCAGAAGCCACAGGGTGGAAAGGACAAGGTCTTTTTGTTGTTGTTTTTTAATTGAACCCAGGGCCTGGTACAGGCCAGACAAGTGCTCTACCACTGAGCCACATCCCCAGCCCAGGACATGGGTTCTGGAGTGAGGAACATGTGAGTTCAAATCCCTGTTCTGATGTTTCCTAGTTATGCTATTATAAGCAAGTTACCTAGCTTCTGTAAGTCCCAGCTTCCTATCTGTAAACTGGGCATACTGATATCTCTCTTGCAGGAATGTAGTGTGGATTAAAGTTAATACAATATACTAAGAGTCTGGCATATAATGGGTGCTATATAAAAGTTTGTTCCCTTCCTCCCTTGCTGCTTTCTTCTAGCACAAAATACCAAAATTGTTCATTGATTGTGAATTAATGTTTCACTTTTATATATCACTCTTATATATTTAGCAGTGAAATGTAGCACCCTCTCTCAGGCCTGTCTCTGTCCCCTTCAGGATCCTCAGTTTCCTGTTCCTCAAGGTGATGGTGAAATCCAGCCCACTGTTCTGCTAGTTTTGCCTGACTAGTGGAAGACCTTGGGTCTGCACTGCTTTTCTGACAACAGCTATTCGGCCTGCAGCCTCAACTGCTGTCATACCCATGTTGGCCACTAGAGGGGGCTGCTTCTATTTCTACTTAGGGTGGACAGAGGTGAGAAGTTGGGGTAGAGAGCCCACCTTGCTTTTAGGTTCCTATTACTTGGACATTAATCCAACCATTTCCACAAAGGAGGGGATGTTTGGGAAAAGCACATGGGTGGGGGTTCTTCCGTATTTGCATTGGCCTCTCCCATGAATATCTGGGGGGAGCCTGGGCGGTGGGTGGGTGGGGTGTTACTATTTGTGTTGGTCTCTCCCATGAAGATTTCAGGAGTCATTAGCCTTTAAGAAGCTAATGGCTAGGTTCAGCAATGTTCATTTTCCTGCCAGGTTTAGAGACTTGACATACACAGGGTGATAAGGTGGTTTAAGGAAATTTGGCATCTCTTCTTTTCAGAAAAATTTTAGCATGTTTTCTAGGTTGGTGACTTTGGGTCTGTTTAGTGTCCATCCAGCCTGGAAGGGTTGTGACAGCAATGAGTCAGAGCAGACAGGGACATCAACGCCCCTGACCTACCAGCCACAGCTGGGAGATACCATCTGACATCTTCAAACACAATCCCATCACACTACCATTGCGCCGGTACTGCAGCCCGGCTACTCACTCGGATGTAGTTGGCATTGATGTAATCTCCATCCTCCTGGCTCTGCACCCGACCGAGACAGACACGGCTCTGAGGATCTAGGAAGTAAAAATCAGTGGCGGTCAGAGGTCAAAAGGTGACCAACTAATACAGACTCTAACTGACTCAGAGAAAAGACTTGTGACTGTCACAGTCCTTTATATATAGCAAGTAGCCCAATGCCCACTGGATTATTTTATATGTAGATAATAGGCAACCACAGAATAATTTTGAGCGGGAGATTGATATCAATTTCCAGCCATAACTTGGGAAGGCTAACTGAGTGGTACTGTGTGGGATAGACTAGAGAGGAAAGGGCACGGAGCTGCAAAGATCACACAGGAAGTTCTTGTAACGATCTACTCTTGAGATCAGTGAGGGTGCAGAACAGGAAAATACCAGTAAAATTGGAAAAAGAAGTGCTGTAGAGAAAGAGTGTCTTTTCAGTGATGGATATGGGGTCCAGAGGAGTGACTTGCCCAAGATCACTTGGTGGTTAAGTGGGACTCGGACTCAGATTTCATTCAGCTACTAGATCCTGTGGTTTCTCCTCTAGGGGATGGGATTTCTCCAAATCAAATCCAAACGAGGATAAAGAAGCAGGCCTATGAGGAAAGGAGAGGGGATACTCCCCTCCAGAGCCAGCCTGGCTATGAACAGAGGAGGCCCAGAGGCCAGGGAAATCTCAGGCAAGGGGACTGTCCCCTCTCTGGTGGCTGCAGGGCTGGTCAGAATTAGGAAAGGACTAAACTCACATCCTCTCCACTTGGCGGAGCACTCCCAGCCTCTGAACCCATCTCAGCTGGCAGAGGCGCAGGAGGAGGAAGGGAGTACCAGCAGGAGGTAACCCCAGTGTGGAGTCACTGCAGGGGGCAGCCTGATGGGGCTGCTCTCAGGGCGGGGGGGGGGGGGGGGAGAGGCTCAGAGGCCTCTGCAGAGCAGGAGGTGCTAGCCCTGGCTTGTCAGCCCAGCGTCCCCCATCCCAACCTTCCCAGCAATCTCTCTGTCCTGCCTCCATGTGTGTTTCTCAAAGCCCTCTGTGTCTTGGGGTATCCTCCCAGAAACCTCTGCTGCTGTGAAGCCTCCCTACATGGGAGGAAGATGAGGAAGTTTTGGTACAGGGAGCTGTGTGACCTTGGGCAAGCTATGTAATCCTCTGTCCCTCGGTTTCCTCATTTGCAAAATGGGCATACTAATACCATCATGCCAGCTTCACAGGGACACTGGGAGAAATGAATGAACCAAAAGGGTGGAGGGCAGTACCTGGCCCACAGTAGGCATTTGCAAATTTTATCATCGCTGCTGCTGCGATTATTGCCCCTTCTTTCCCTCATCAGGGAAAGAATATTTCCAAGTTCTCTTGTCCTTCCTTCACCCAGGCTGTGCATCTTGCCTTCTGAAGCTTGCCAGTCCTGGGCAGAGTGCCTACCTCCCTCCATCCCCACTGCCGCTCTTACTTGGCAAGATGGTCTTGTACCGGTCCTTGGAGGCATGACCAGGGATATCCAGGTCTTCGGGGTTGACGAAGTTTGAGGGGATCTTCTGGCAGGGGAAGAAATGAGTGAACAGCTGCTCCCTTTCCCAGCATGCTTTTCTCCCCTTCCTCCCTTTCCTACTAGTGCTGGACCCTGGCCATCCCTTCTTAGCAGGCTAGGGTGGAAAGTAAAAGAGGAGACATGGGGGCAACCTCCTTTCCTGAGCCCCCAGGGTGCAAAGAGTGCCCAGGGTGTCCATGACGGACTGAGGCCAGCTGAGCACCTCTAATACAGAGGACAGACTGATGCAGAAGGGACCCCAAGTTCTTACCAAGAATTCCTCCTCCAGTTGCTTGGGGCTGGGTGGCTGGTGCTGCAGGGCCCAGCAGGTCAGGGGGTGTCCAGCTGTGCGCAGAAAGTGTAGGGTGACCTCCCGGGGTGTGTTCACGGAGCAGATGGGCTCCACGGTGCCCAGGGAGCGCACATCCAGCATCAGAGCCACATTGGAGCCCCGCCTAACGAGCACCCAATAAAAACCGTTTATGTTACAGTTATTATTGTATAGGGTACATTTGAGGAGGCGGCTCCTCGTCAGTGCTCCAGAGGCCTAGTGCATTCGAGGGTTCAGGGCCCTGCTGCATGCTTTTGTCCCTTTGTCAGCCAGATAAGGGAACACGGAAACAACTGCTCTTCCCCGCTGCCACCTCTTCTCCTTCTCAACCTGGCCCCCAGGCTCACACCTACACGCAACCTCTCCCCAGGGACAGCCAGCCAAACCTAGGATTCAAGGTGCAGGCTCAGGGTTGACATGAAACTCTGTGCCCCAGAAACACAAAGAACATGCAAAGGATATGCAAATTAGTATGATCGGGTTTTCTTTCCAGATTGGAGTCCAAAGTAGAGGGTCTCTGGACTCAGCTACCAGAACTGGAGGGGCAGATGGAGGGGGGGGGAGAAGCGAGCCGGGGCCCAGGGCTGGGAAGACCCTCTCCACAGGGAAGATCTCACCTCTCCTGTAGCCGCACATGCTTCTTGGCTGGTGCTTTGGCAGGTGGAGGTTGGGTCATCTTGGCTGCCCCTAAAGATGAGGTCGGCCGCAGTGCTCTGGAGCGCCCCCCACGGGCCTGGACCATGCTGGGGTGGGGCACTGGCCCAAGGGAGGCTCACTCGGCCATGGCCATGACGTCTGCCTGGAAGACAAGGCCCTGCAGCTGCTGGCCTCAGCCTGTCTGGCCAGAAGGAGGCTCCCAAACCCTGTTCCTCAAGAGGTGGCCTCATTTTCAGCCCGAGGACAGGATCTCTTTGGTGGGATCCAGGGCACAGGCCACAGTCTGACTGAGGTTGGAGTAAGGAAAAGATAAAGGGTGGAGTCCTGGATGAAGATAGGAAAGAATCCAGAGGGAGAAGAAGGAGGGAGACCAAAGCGCACAGGGCTCTAAGCTGGGGTCCCGGTGAGAGGAGGCCAGGGAGAAAGGTCAATGGTGGGAACCACACAGAAGGAAGGGACAAAGCTCTCAGAAGCCACCCCTGACTCTAACCAGTGGGACTGCTCCTGAATGAGAAAGCGCACGCCTCTGGCAGTGTTGGAGGCCGTTGGAGACCCAGACCCACCGGGCTGCTGGCCCCTCACATGGTCCTCTCCGAACCGCTGGTAGGTCCACTCCCAAGATAATTTCTGGTTTCTGGGGTCCCCGTCCAGGGAGGTTAGCCTGGGGGTGTTTCCTTCCTCCTCCTGCCCTTCCCCCATCTCCCGCCTCTGTAACCGTCACAGGAAATGGCCTCACCAAGCCCTTGAGCGACAGTGCATGGTGAGGCGACAGCTAGGGGCATGAGTGGGGGCATGGAGGTGATGAAGCCACCTCTTCTGGGGGCAGTCCCCATCTCTCAGAGCCAGGGTCTCAGGTGCTGAGACAGCAGGGTCTAAGTTGCTAAGCCCACAGGGATGGAGGTGAGGGGACAGCGTGGGCCCTTGCAGGTGCGGGTGGTGGAGAGGGCTTCTCCTGCAGCAGGGGGGCTCTTTCACTCAGTTCTCTGCGCTCCCTGTGGCTTCCCTGCCCTCCTGGCTTCAGGGACATCAGGTGTATGGACACCCACTCCCCAGCCGGCACCGAGGGCCCACTCGCCCTCCCACATACCCCCTTCCCCGGGCTGTCCCCACCCTGGGGCACAGCACTCCTGCTCCCTGCTTCAGGTACTTACTGAAGCAGCTGTGTTCCCCAGGCTGCCTCTTGCCAGCTGTCTATCTGTCTGTCGGTCTGTCTTTGAGGACTGAGAAGGATTCAGGAAGCCAGTTTCCTCCCTCGGCCCCTCCTCGCTTCCACCCACGCACACCCCGGCTTGCTCGTGCCGCCCTCCCGCGCCTGTGCAGCTGCCACCAGGGGTCGGTGCCTCCTGCCTGTGCCCCTAGAGGCTTCGTGCGATGTCTTGGCACCTTTGCCAGGGGCCAAGGTCCTGTTCCCGGGAACAGGTGAGGGGCTGGGCCTTCCTTGAGCACCAGGTTCCTCTGGCTTCTAAACCCTCTTCCCTCCTGCCACACTGCTCCTGTGGGTCCTTGTCACGTCCCATTTCTGTCTGCTTTCTGGGCAGAGCTCAGCTGGCCCCTTGCTCCATGCCATCTCACAAAGAACCCCAGGTGGCTCCTCGTCCACCTGACCATGCCAGAGGCTTATTTCCACTCCTGTGCCTCTGCCCAGGGGCCCTCTCCCTGGAAGCCCTTGCTGTTTCATGCCTTGGAACCTCATGGCCAAGAACAGGCTGCAGCTTCCTAGAGCAGATGTGGCACAGACCTGGGGTGGGAAGCAGGGGGCAGGAGTCCTTGCTGCATGTGGGAAAGGAGGGCCCCTGGCTGGGCCAGAAGGGCTTCCTCAGGCTCTGAGCCCTGCCCAGCTCTCCGCTCCCTTGGCCTGCACATAGGCCAGCCACCCGGGGAGTGGACCGTAGAGCTGAGTTGGAGGAGAGTCTGGGGCTTCCCCTAGGTCCCCTGCCCCCTCTGGGCCTCCTCCCAGAACCTGACATCCTTTCAGAAGACTTACGAATCATCGACAGGCTCTGGCCCTCCTGCCAGGGGACTCCCATGTCCTCTTCACTACTGGGGCACCTGTGTGCCTGGGGCTTGGGGAGCAGCCCCCAAATCCAAGACGCCAGGGCCCTCCGCCCCTGCCTGGCTCCTCTGGCTGGCCCCTGGAGGCCTGCAGCCCAGCCGCCCCGCGGTTCATGCTGCTGCGTCTCCTTAGACCTTGTAACATTCCCAACATCCTTCCTGGCCCCAGCACGCTCCCTCCGCATTCCCTCTCTTCCTCCCACTTCTCTGATTCAGCTGTCAAACGGTGACAGCAAAGAAGACATGATGTACAATAGGCACAGGGGAGGGCACACAGGGGGCGGCAGGGGGCTTCAGCTGACCCTCACAGGAGAACGTTTGAGGTGAAGAACAAGAGTGACCCTTTGGGCTCAGGAGGCCTCCTGCTACCTTCCTTTGCCCTTGGGAGGTGAAGACTCTTTTCTGAGCCTCTCCTTGGCTAACTGATCCTGGGTCCATCTTCCCTGTAGTTGGTGTTCCTTTAAGAATGGGGGGGGGTCGCCCAAGGAAGGGGGCTAGGTGGAGCTGGGAAGTATTTGGCTGCAGGGCCAGCGTGAGGTGGCAGGAGCAGGAGCCTGGGAATCCCTAGGTCGCTGTGGGCAATGATCTGAGGCTGGCCTCTGCCTTGACCTCCCCATGTGGGTCAGTGTTTCTTCTGGTCAGTGGTGTGGGCCCTGGAGTAAAGGAGGGGGCAGGAGGGGATTGGAAAGAGGGCCCCCGCTCTGGGCCGACTGTTGATTATGATCAAGAACAGGAAGCTAGGATACCACAGGGGTGGGGGAGGAGGAAGTGGGCCAAGTCTCCCCTCCACTGGCTTGCCCAGTGCCCCCGGGTTTCCATGCCTGAGCCCTGTTGGCTCTGAGCACATCCCTGACCCCTCAGAGGCTAGGGCCAGCAGAGGTCCAAGTGGTTCAAGGAAGCCAGGAGTCTGGAGATGAGGAAGGGGGTTGATACAAGGGGTGGGTGTAGTGCTGGACATTGAGCAAGACCCCGGGGCCCTCCCAGTTTCCTTTGGGAGGTGGAGGGGAGAATCACTTCTGGCCTCCTACCCACTCCCTCTCTCTTCCTTTGCTTAGAAACGCCTGGACATCCATGGAGCATGTGGCTCGAGACCCAACCACAGGCCTCTGATGGACAAGATGCTGCCCCAGCCCCTCCCCAGCCTGGCCTGGGAGCCTAGTCCACCCTCTGCGCCCCCCCGCCCCCCGGTGTGAGCTTTGCCCCATCTTGAGGCTCCTAAAGTGACTGTCTCTTCACTGCAGACCTTCCCATGCCTGGGGTGGAGCTCTCCCGGGTGGCTTTCCAAATTTCATCACTGAAATTTCTTATTTGTTTTCCTGGGTTGGGATTGAGTTTCCAGCTACCTTCTGCCCCGGAGAATGTGTATACTAATAGCTGGGAGCCGGAAGACCTGCATGTCATGAGTAAACTAGGGCCCAGTGCTGTGTGACCTTGGGCAAGTTACGAAGGCTCCCTGTGTCTCCGACTCCTCCTCAGCTTCCTCCCTTCCCAGGGGGATGATAATAGGGATAATAACCCCATGTGGGCAGATGAAGGGAGACCTGTGAAGTGCTTTTGTTCACAGGAGAGCTCAGGAGTCAGCAGAAGCAAGAGAAGCTGGTGAGGGAAGTGGGCCAGGGAGCCACACTGGGTGGGGGAGAGCTGTGTGGGGGGAGGCCATGGAGGCTACGCCTTGCCCCTCACCAGCCTTACATCCTCCAGGGAGAAGGTGTCAGCGCAGCTCAGGGAGGCTCTGCAGGGAGTCGCTCATAGCAGCCAGAGAGGACAGGGAGGAACTGGCCAGGCTCTCGGGCCAGGCTGGGGAGGGGCTGATGCAGGGCGAGGACACGTGTCTCGTCCCATCTGAGACTTGTGGTCCGTCTGGCTGCACACACAGTTACCACTTGGCTCTCCAGTCTGTCTCCTCCAGTCACTCCTGATTCCTGGGGCTGTGAACCGTGACTCCCATGCTCAGTGTGAGAGCCCCTGGGGGACGGGATACACCAGCAACTCCCAGAAACCCCTGTTCTATAAAATCCAAGGGGGCATCTTGGGGAAGGGTCAGCTGCTGGGGGCCAGGACTGCTGGGCCTCACACCTGTCCTGTTCCTCTCCTTAGCTGCCCTACTAGCTCCTCTCTGGACAAGCCCTTAGATCCTAGGTGGCTCTTCCTGAGGAAGCCGACTTGTTCTGCCCTGACTCGGCGGGCCCAGGCTTGTCCTGGGGCGTTGGGGAGACAGACACCGAGGCCTTGGAGCAGGAGGCAGGGATACACCAGACACACGGTGAGTGGGGCAGAGGAGTGCTGGGCGGCCCCCTGGGCTAGCCTCCAGGGAGGCCCACAGGGCATGTCCCAGGCTGCCCCTCTGTGCCAGCCACCTCAAATGCCATCGCCCACTCCAACCCCGTTTCCCTCCTGCTACCATTTGAGTGCCCTGCTGGTACAGGGGACTTTTCCATACCCTTCAGCCCTGGCTGAGAGGACCAGCTCAGCATGGAGGAAACCAGGGCCAGCCTGCTGGGAGTTCCAGGAAAGACCCCAATTCCTCTCCTGTCGCTGGGACCCTGGCAGGAGAACGTTAGGGCAGAGGAAAGTCCCTCCCTGTCTCCAAGCTCAGAGTCAGAGAAATGGACATCTGCTCTACAGCGTGGCCCTTTCCTCCCAGGGGCTCTCCTGTCGGCCTCCCCCTGGGTGTTGTTTCTGGACACCCCCTCGTGTGTCCATTCAGACAGGCGTGAGCTCCCTCCTGATACACCTGTGCACACTTGAACACACACTGTTGGGGCACACCCCTGCCCAGGCCCCCAGCCCCTGCTGTCGCTCCACAGCTGCACCTAGGCCTCCCCCTTCCCCGGCGACCTTCCCCAGAACGTGGGAGGGACAGTGGGCGACTTGTCCTCTCCTGCCTGGTGATTATCTTCCTCCAGCGTGGGGGATGCCCAAGGCCTGGCTTCGGGTTGTGGGAGAGCAGAGGAGGGGCCGGAAGAGCTGCCTGGGACAGCTGCAGGGAGAGACAAGGCCAATTCACATTTGGGAGCCCAGACAGCAGGACCTGCCACTGGCCCTCTTCTGCCTCTTGACTGACTCTTTCCAGAATGAACTGGTAAGGTGCCTTGAGACCTTGGGAGGACCCTCGGGGTTCTCTAGGGAGAGGATGTGGGTTTGTCTGTGGGGGTGGCTGTTGGGGAAGAGGTACAGCCCTGTGGTTCTTTTTTGCTGAATGGAGAGGCTTGGTCTTGGGGGTAGGCGGTGCTGATTCTTATCTGTCAGAAACTTTCTGTACTCTCTCTGGAGCCCCCCTCCCTTCCCAAAGCTGCCCCTGGCTGGGTTGGGGGCTGGCAGCTGGGCCTACTGTGGTAAAGTGCCTTCTCAAGGTTCTCTCTAGCTTCAGAGTCAGGGCTGTCCCCAACAGGCCTCTCTTTGGTGGGGACTTTGGGACCACCCCCCCCATGTCCTGCTCTATCTCCTTAGATTCTGAATTAGGATGTTTCCACCCCACCATCTCTCCTGTTTGTGGCTGCTGGTCGGGACTCTGCTAAAAGAACAGAGTAAGTTGTCCCCAGGTGAGGTGAGATGGGGAAAGGACCAGGGTAAGGAGTTGCCCCACCTCTTGGCCAGAGCGGGATGGGGACCTTTCCCCTTTCTTGTCAGTTTTCCTAGTTGCTAGGTCCCCCACCCCCACCTCTTCTGAAAGAACACACGTGTGCATATGTACACACACACACACACACACACATGCACACACGCACACAAACACAGCCTGGAAAATCTGATGAGTCTGCAGAACTGAGTTTCCAGGCCCCTGTCCAGGGCCGGGTGGGCGGCTCTGAGGTTTGGGGCTGGGTGGAGGGGGGGTGCAGCCCCCAGTGCTGGGCTCTGGTACAGGCCTGTCCTCCCTGCTGGGGCAGGCCCAGGGGAGTCTGGCCCCCGCTCAGAAGATGCCTTGCTGTTGGAGTCTCGGTACCGGCTGCTTTCTGTACACCCCCTCCTGGGCTTGCAGAGTCCTGGGCTCTTCCTGGGGCCCAGCGCCTCTCCTCTGCTCCCTTCCCTCCCACCGGAGCTGACTTGGCACTTGGCGTGGGAGCACCTGGGTGAGCAGTGCCAGGTGAGTAGCTGGCTCTAGGCAGGGTGAAGGGAGCACGAGTGCCAGATTTTTCTAGGCCAGGTCTCAGGCGGGCGCAGCCGGGACTCTGCAGGGCCGGGAGGGGCAGGGGAGCCAGGGTGGGCACGGCTGCCAGAGGTAAAGGAAGTCAGGAGAGGACCCCAGGGACTCTCGTCCTTCCAAGTGAAGAAGAGCGATTGGGGGGCTAGGAACCGGGTTTGCCATCTCTGCTGTATGTAGTCAGACGTCCCAGTCCCAGGTTCAAGTCCAGCTTCTTTCCTTGTACCTGTGGATCCCTGGGCTGGACTCTGCCCCTTTCTGAACTTTGACTTCCTCATCTGGGCAGTGGAATGATGATCCATCCCAAGGGCCAGGTGAGCTCTGGATCCACTGTCACAGAGACTCAGGGCTTAAAGGATGAGCTTCTGGGCCTCTGTCCAGTACAGCATAGTGCCACCCGGGTGCCCAGAAAGGGACACATACTCAGCTGACCCATCCACGCAGAGCACAGGAACATACACCCACACCATGTGACCAGGACCTCCCCTCTATCCCCACAGAAGCACAAACATCCTATTAATCTCATACACATATGAGGGAGTCAAGGGACACGGCCCCTCTTGCAGGGTCAGGGAGAGGGGAAGTTAGCTGTCTCGGCTGCGTGTGACCATCTGCAGGGTTGTTACTCGGTCATTCCTGAGAGCACAGGACATTCTCCTCTCTGGGAGCAGCTGCTGGAGGTGGGCTGGAGGAGGGAGAGACCCAGCAGGGAGGTGGGTTTGGCTACTGTCTGAGAGTTACAGATCTCTTCCACCTTCTGGGCCTAGAACCGGCCTCCTTCCCCTCACAGAGTCTTGCCCAAACTGGGCGGGGTAGAGTCGGGCTCTGGTTGGAGGCAGCCCCTTGCTCTTTGCTGCTGTCTGCTTGAAATTCTGCCCTTGCCCGCCCGCCAGCAGGGCAGGGAAGGGCTTGGTGGGGGCGTGGCTCTCCTCCTGCAGCCTCCCAATCTTCCCTCTGCAGACATCCTTGGGATGAAGCCCCCAGTCCTGTTCGTCCTGCTCCTCTGGCTCCCGGGCTTTCTGGCTGAGGTAAAGTGGGCATGGGGGGCACACCCAGCAAGTGGGCCCCTGTTGTCCAGGGCATGTCCAGGCCTCCACCTCTCGGCAGAGCCCACAGCTGGTCTGCATTAGGCGAGGAGGAAGGCTACTCCTTCCCACTCGGGCCAGCATGGAGGACAGATCACTCCAACTGCCAGGCTGCCTCCCACACCTTGGGCGAGTCTCCAGGGGATGCCCCTCTGCAGTGTGTAGGGGGGTGTCAGACAGGTGGGAGCCTGCTCTCTGATCCTGGCTCTGTCCCACACTAGCTTTCCCAGAGGCCTCATCGATCCGGAGGCCTCTGCCCATCTCCTCTCCTCTCCTTTCTACAGGAAGACCCATGCCACGTCTTGGAAGGGAGCCCAGATGGGGAGGGTAGAGGTAGGTGTCTGTGGTGTAGGAGGGGGTTCTGGGGGCAAGGGGGAGGGTGAAGGGATGATTTTTCCATATGGGGCCTTGCCCCCCACTTTCTGCCTTCCCTCCTTCCTTGGGGCCTAGGGGTGTCGGGAGACTCTGAGTGTACCCCTTTCCCCAGGTCCACCCCTGAGCGTGAACATCAGCAGTCAGGGCAGCCCTCCCAGCCTCCTTCTGAGCTGGGCGCCTACCCAGCCAGGTGGGCTTGGGCATGTTCTCCACCTCACAAGCCTGAGCTCTCCTGATGGGCAGCAGCTCCAGGCCCACACCAATGAATCCAGCTTTGAGTTCCAGAACCTGGTGCCAGGGAGTCTCTACCAGCTGGAAGTGACTGCCCTGCAACCCTGTGGAAAGAATGTCACCATCACCCTCATAGCCCGCACTGGTATGGGACCTACAGGCTGAGGGGGCGGGGTCCTTCCCTGGGGTGGAAACAGGAGGTGGCTGCCCTGGAGGGCTGGCTGGGGACAGGAAACCAAAAGAGACAACTTCTCACAGGGCCCAGTCTGGCACAGGGACCCATTTAGAAGCACTTACAAGCAGAAACACCACAAGCTCTCTCTTTCCACCTCTGATGCAGCCCCATCAATTGTCCATGGACTGCAGCTCCATGGCTCTGGGAGCCCAGCCAGCCTGGAGGCCTCGTGGGAAGATGCCCCGGGGGAGCAGGATGGTTATCAACTTCTCCTCTACCACCTGGAATCCCGTACAGTGGCACATAATGTCTCTGTGTCCCCGGAAACCTCGTCCTACAATTTTGGCAACCTCTCGCCAGGTAGCGAGTATGTTTTGGAGGTTACCACCTGGGCTGGCAATCTCCAAGCGAAGACCAGCATGCACCAGTGGACAGGTGAGGTGGGCACCTGGGTGAGGCCCCGTGTGGCAGCCAGTCTGGGAATAACAGTCCAGTGCCTTGTAAGCAGTGCCATGCCCCAGTGTGGCTGGGCCTCTGGGACCCCAAGTGCCCAAGCTGGCGCCAGCATCTTGCTCTGGGATCCTTCCTCAAGCCTGGCTTTGCTGTACTGTCCTTCCTCCAGAACCCGTGCCTCCAGGTCACCTGGTGCTGCATGCCCTGGACACCTGTGCCCTGCAAGCCTCCTGGAACAGCTCCGAGGGGGCTGCCTGGCTCCACCTAGTGCTCAAAGACCTCCTAGGTGGCTCCAATCTGACTGTAGAGGTCACACGTGGTGTCTCCAATCACACCTTCCTCCACCTGTCTCCGGGCACAGCCTATGAATTGACACTTAGTGCTGCTGCTGGGCCTCATCAGGCCATGGGGCCCAGTGCCACTGAGTGCACCTGTGAGTACCTGGGGGGTTGGGGAGGGATATAGCAGAGACTGCTCAGTTCATCTCCTCGGGTCAAGTAGCCAGAGTACAGCTGGCAGGGGAGCTGGGAGTTGGGAAACTTGGAGCCTGCACCCGTCCTGTTGACTTGTGGTCGGTGCCCACCTGAGACGATGGCAGTGGAAGTAACAGTTATCATCAGTTGAGCCCCTCTGGGGTGGGCTCTGTGCTTGGCACTTTCTGTGTGTAGTTTTATTTAATCCTCCATGAAGCTATATGTAGGATTCCTTACCCCGTGTTATCACAGAGGGAACTAAGCTGCAGAGAGAGAAAGCACCCAAGGTCACAGTGTGTAAGAGCTGACCTCACCCTGGGCAGCACGCCTCATTTGCACTCTGAGAGGCGCTGTTGCGCCTTGGTGAAGAGTCGGGGAACCAGGCTGCCTGGGTTCTGAGTTTTGTTTCTGCTGCCTGCTGGCTGCACATCTCTGGATGACTTCCTCACCTTATTTTACTTATTTTATTTTACAGTCCTGGGGATCAAACTCAGGGCCTTGTGCATGCTAAGCAAGTGCTCTACCACTGAGTAGCTCTACCACCCCCAGCCTTTTTAAATTTTTATTTTGAGACAAGCTAAGCTGTCTCTAAGCTGCCAAAGCTGGCCTTGAACTTGCAATCCTCCTGCCTCAGCCTCCCAAATAGCTAGGATTACAAATCTGTGCCCAGTTCATGTCTGTTTGTTTACTTATTTATGTATTTATATATTTATGCATGTTTGGGATTAAACCCAGAGTCCTGTGCATGCTAGGCAAATGCTCTACCACTGAGCTATATCCCCAGTGCAGTTTCTTTTCTATTTTTTAGAAAAATATTTATTTTTTTTAGTTGTAGTTGGCACAATACCTTTATTTTATTTATTTTTATGTGGTGCTGAGGATTGAACCCAGGGCCTTGCATGTGCTAGGCGAGTGCTCTACCACTGAGCCATAACCCCAGCGCCCCCAGTGCACAGATTCTATATCTTTTAAAGGTAGTGAGTATCTTCCTCCTATGTCAAGAGGATTGAGTGTGAGGTTCTGTGTGCAGAGGCCTCAGGAGTGTGCTGGCAGACACACATTGGATCATATGATGTGCTCTTATTTTGCTGTTATTGCTGTCCATGGCCAGATGGTGGCTGCCATATCCTGGTATTCATCCAGATTGTGGCAAATAGGGCTGCCAACATCTGGATGAGATGAGGCCCAGGATGCATAGAAGCAGCTGGTACAGAGAGAGTGGGGCTTTTCTCACCCACTGCTTAGGTCTTCAGGAGTATTTGCCCCTATCTCCGCAGATCCCTCTGCCCCACTGGACCTGGTGCTGACTCCTGTGCCTCCCCAGCTCTGGGCAAGCTGGAAGGCAGGGCTGGGAGCCCGGGATGGCTATGTGCTGAAGTTAAGCGGGCCAGTGGAAAAGAATACCTCTCTGGGCTCTGAGGCCTGCAATGCTATATTCCCAGGGCCCCTCCCCTCAGGACACTATGCTCTAGAGCTGAAGGTTCTGGCTGGGCCCTATGATGCCTGGGCCCAGGCCAGTGCCTGGCTTGATGGTGAGTCTGGACTGGGGGAATAAGGGTGGGGTCCTGCCCAGAGCCATCTGCTTCAAGAGGCAGGTGGATCCTCATTCTCTGCGACCGGCCTCCTCTCCAGATTCTACAGGCCAGCCCAGGAAGGACCATGGGGCCAAGTTGCAGCTGGAAGGGTTGGAAGCCAGCAGGGAGCCTGGGCGGCGGGCACTGCTCTATGCCAATGATGCCCCAGGCCTCCTAGGAAACATCTCCGTGCCCTCTGGTGCCACCCAGGTCACCTTCTGTGGCCTGGTCCCTGGAGCACAGTACCGTGTGGATATTGCCTCATCCCTGGGAGTCATCACCCAGAGCCTCATGGGCCGCACAAGTGAGTGCCAGCTGCTGTGTCCCCTGGGACTGGGGCCGGGAGGCCTTGGCTTGGCGAGGGAAGTCACGTAGGGGAGTGGCTCATGAGAGCTGTGCAGGAGGCATCACAGGGCCAGTGACACATATGACTCCCTCCCCAACACCTTTCAGGTCCCCTGACACCACAGTCACTGGAGGTCATCAGCAAGAACAGCCCATCTGACCTGACTATTGGCTGGGCCTTGGCACCAGGGCAGCGGGATGGCTACAAGGTCACTTGGCACCAGGAGGGCAGCCAGAGGTCACTGGGAAACCTTGATTTGGGCCCAGATAATTCCAGTGTGACTCTCAAGGGTCTGGTCCCTGGCTTCTGCTACGCAGTGTCAGTATGGGCCTGGGCAGGGAACGTCAGCTCCAGCGTCCAAAGGATTCACTCCTGTACCCGTGAGTTCCAGCTTAGCCTCTGGGTGGCAGCTAGGGGCCTGGTTTCCTTTGCTCCTGGGCCTTCTGTATGTCATATTATTGACTTAGAGGGCCACTAGTCAAAGGCAGGCCTTTCCTGAATCTATTTGCAAATGTTTCCTACTTCCTACCATTTGGTCAGCTAGCCACTCACCCATCACACACCCTTTTATCACCCACCACTCTGCCATCCTTCCATTCAACCAACATTTGATTAACATCTCCCATTTCCTAGATATGGATTTAGGTGCTGAGGCTAAGCATTGGGAACAAAACAGTCTAGAAAGGACAATTGACAGATGGCGTATATGTCTATCACGCACGTGGTTTTATAGGCTGAATTATAAATGTAAATGTGTTGGTAGGAATATGCATGCTGTATTAACTCAAACTGTACAAAACTACATTCTTATAGGCTCAAATGGCGACTGTTGGGAATTTTATGTGGTTCCATCTGACTTCTGGACTCAGAGAAGGGACACTTGCTTCAGAAGTCAGGACAAGGTTCTCAGAGGAGAGTGAGCTGAGAGGCCTGAGGGGCTGGGTAGGAGGGGCGGAGGACTTCAGCAGGAAGCTAAGCATGTACCAAGGCCCACAGGTCAGAGACGGACAGACAGACAGACAGACAGACTGAGACCTTGCTGGAACTGAGCGTCCATGGATGCACTGGAGAACAAAGACTCTGAGGCATGGGAGAGACTGGGTATGGAGCTGGGCGCTGGCAGAAGCAGAGTGAACCAGACACCTCCCCTGGAGCCAGGGTGTGGTGAGGGCACAGGTGTCTTTGCAAGAGGTTTTTCTAGGAAGAAAAAGAGCAGGCTTTGAGCCCTGTGAAATTGGAGTTTTAGGATGGGATGCTCGGGAGCTTGTTTGGGGAAAGAGGGGGGCGGGATTCTGATGATTTCAAATCTCTTTCTTCTTGTCCTCTCAGTCCCTGTTCCTCCTGCCAACTTGAACCTGGGCTTTGCTGCCCAGCCTCCGGCTCTGAGGGCTTCTTGGAGTCCCCCACCAGGTGGCAGGGATGGCTTCCGGCTGCGGCTTTACAGCCTGGGGCCCCTAGCTCTGAAAAGTGAGGAAACCCTGGCCCCAGAGGCCCAGAACTTCTCCTGGGCCCAGCTGTCCCCAGGCTCCAAGTTCCTGGTGCAGGTGGCCACCCTGCATGGTCCAGAGGAGAGCAGCAGTGCCAATGCCACAGCATGGACCCGTGAGTGCCCCCAGTGTGGTCCTCCCCTGCCTCTACCCTTGGGAGTCCCCCTTCCCACCCCAGTCTTCCTTCTTCCATGAGGGCCGCCATCACTGTCTTTAGATTCCTCCCAAGAAGGGTGAGACCTCAGGCAGGCTGGGAGGAGCTGGAGGGAAGTCTGGCCTGGGAGTCAGGAGACCTGAGTTCTAGCTGGGGCTCCACCCCGAATGTAAGCTCAGCCCTCCCTGAGCCTCAGTGTCCCCAACTATAAAGAGGAACTTTGACAAAGTGACTGGGCTGGACTCAAGTGAGTCCAAATCCTGGGCTCAGGCTCTGAGGGTAGGAGGGCACTGACTGGGCCCCTACACATCCACCTGTCCATCCATGTAAGGGTCTTTAAAAGCCCCTTCTGCGGGGACTAGGCAAAGGCCCGTGAATCAACTGTCACGCAGCCCAGTCTGCCTCTGACTGAGGGGGTGGCCGCCGGGAGGGTATTGATTAATTCAGCTGTCCAGCCCAGCTGAGCTTGTACCCTGCCTCCTGGGACAAATGGCAGACCCTGCTTCAGAGGAGAGTCTTGATCCCGATGCCCTGAACCTGTATCTTGGCTCTTGGTTGTTCCTTAATTGAGCCAAGCAGAGAGGAAACTTCTGGAGCAGGAGAAGCCAGATATTTGACTTAGATTCTTTTCTTCTTTCCTGTCCATCACCCCATACCTTGTGCTCCCTGCAGCTCCTCTTGCCCCTCTTCTGGTCAACGTGACCAGTGAAGGCCCCACCAAGCTCCAGGCATCCTGGGTCCATGCTTCTGGGAACTGGGACAGCTACCAAGTGACTGTGTACCAAGGAGGTACCCGTGTAGCCACTGGCTTCGTGGGAGCTGAGGTGAACAGCACAAGCCTCTCATCTCTGACTCCAGGCACTAAGTACGAGGTGGAGATTGCCTCACGGGCTGGGCCTCTTCGCACCGCAGCAGCCAATGTCTCTGGTTGGACCTGTAAGTGGAGCCTGGGAAGGTCAGCGACAGAGGACAGGAGGGCAGGGCTGCCTCTGAGACCCCCTGCTCCTCCCTCAGTGGCACGTTAGCTGTCCATTAGTCCCACTTCTACACAGAAGGCCCCTGCATGTGGTTAATGAATTCTGTCACCATTCAGGGGTCTCTCAGGACTAGGCCATGGAGCCTGATTGGCCTGCTCGCTCTCCTTCCCTCCACAGCCCCGCTCATGCCCAGTGAGTTGTTGGTGTCCATGCAGGCGGGCAGTGCTGTGGTCAACCTGGCCTGGGTCAGCAGCCCCTTGGGGCAGGGAACCTGCCATGCCCAACTCTCAGAAGCTGGGCACCTCTCCTGGAAGGAGCCCCTGGAACTAGGCCAAGCCCGCCTCATGCTGAGGGGTCTCACCCCGGGACGCAACCTCTCCCTGTCAGTGCTGTGCCAGGCGGGGCCTCTCCAGGCCTCCACTCACCCTGTGGTACTGCCAGTTGGTAAGTGGCTGCCTGCTGGGGGAGGGTGAAGTGCCCAGACCAGCAGGTCCAATCCAGCCCATTGCCCATCTCTTGGAGCCACCTGCTCCTTCTAGTGGCTATTGTGACCACCTCTGCCTTGGGTTATGCCCCATATCCAGATAAGCAGGGATGAAGACAAGTTGTCTCTCCATGTGGCTGAGGTCCCTTTCCACAAGCATAAATGTCCAGACCCTTCGTGCCTGCTGATTTTGGCAGCCCCACCCAGATGCCACCCTCTTGGGGGACACGGACACCCACACAATGCAGAGCCCTTGGTTCCTACAGAGCCTGGCCCTGTGGAGGACGTGAGGTGCCAGACTGAGGCTGCCCACCTGGTCCTGAACTGGACGGTGCCTGCTGGGGACGTGGACGCCTGTCTGGTGGTGGCGGAGCAGCTGGCTGCGGGAGGGAGCGCTCACCTCGTGTTCCAGGCCAACACCTCCGAGGACGCGCTGCTGTTGCCCCGCCTGGAGCCTGCCACTTCCTACCGCCTCAGCCTCACCACGCTGGGCAGGAACGGGCTGTGGAGTCGGACGGTCACCCTGGTGTGTGCCACTTCTGCGGAGGGTAGGCACTTTCCACCGCCTCTGGTGCCACCTCTGCTTCCATAGTCCCCCTCTACCACTGCCCAGCTAGGATTGTCATTTGGCTGGCCTGGCTGCCTAGGGCTCTCCCTGTCCCCAGGCCCCAATAGTTTCCTCTCGCCCTGATCTTGAGCCTCACACAGTGGCACCCAGCAGTCTTCCACTCCACGTTTGATTGTATCCATAAGCCGTTTGTTGGCAGGTGTGGTAGGAGGTGCTGGGGACAGTGAGGCATGGTCATTACCCCTATAGACTGGTGGTTTTGTGCTTAGTCAAGGCCTCGCTTCCCTCCTCTCCATCCTCAGTCTGGCATCCCCCAGAGTTGGCTGTGGCCCCCAAGCTGGAGCCTGAGTCAGGAATGGGGGTGAAGATCACACCAGGCATGTTTGGCAAGGATGATGGACAGATTCAGTGGTATGGTGTCGTTGCCACCACCAACATGTCACGTGAGTCTTATGCTTAGGAGGGGTTGGGAGACCCTGGTGATTACCTAGCAGTGGGTAGGAAGGTCCGGGGGTCGAGGCTGGTAAGATGAACTATCTCAGGATAGGGTTGAGGTTGGGTTTTGAGTGGGGAGCAAGCTGGAGAAATGGGGTAGTCCCCTTGTAGTGGGGAGCCAGGCTCCAACCCTCTGCCCACTTTCCTCTGCACCTTCCACATTCCTTCCCCAGTGGCCCGCCCTCCCCAGGAAGCCATCAACCACACGTGGTACGACCACTACTACAGAGGATACGACTCCTACCTGGCCATCTTGCTCCCCAACCCCTTCTACCCAGGACCCTGGGCTGTGCCGAGCTCCTGGACAGTGCCCATGGGTACAGAGGACTGTGGCCAGACCCAGGAGATATGTAATGGGCCACTCAAACCAAGCTCCCAGTACAGGTGAGAGCTAAGTCTTCGGGGGTGGGGTGGGGGGGAGGAGCCTGTGTAAGTTTCATTTATGGGTTGTTTACATAGTCTTTCAAACACAGATCTCTGCAAAGAGGATCAACAGCTCTTTTGATGGGTTTCCTGGTAGGCCAGGAAAAGAAGGGAACACCCATCCATTATATGGGTCTTTTTCCAAAAAGAAATGGGGGATGGATTGGGTTTGGGTTTGCCAGGGCAATTCCAAGGATATCCAGGTGCCTGTTTCTAGAGCTGCTTTTTGCTCTTGAAACAGGGTGAGGAAGATGGAAGAGTGGCGGGAGATGGCCTGCTTTAGGACGCCAGGTGGCGGGAGGGAGGAAGCTCTCCCTAACTGAACAATCCACTGCTTCTGGCCTCGTTTCCTGGGAGGGATTTTACCTCATTTTCCTGCCCCTCCCCAATAGAAAGTCCTGCTTCTCTGTCCCAGGTTCAGTATTGCTGCCTTTACCAGGTTCGGCCCTCAGGACACCACTATCTCCTTCTCAGCCTTCTCAGGTAGGTGGGCACCTGGCTGGGGCTCCAGCGGGACCCTGAAGACGGGGAGTGCAAGGACCCCGCTGGAGGCTCATCCTCAATCTGTGGGGAGGGACTGAGCTTAGGTTCCTGGGAGATCCCGTGGTGCCTAGCAGAACTGGAGACCCAGAGCCAATCAAGTGCAGTGGGCTCCAGATATGGCCTGGGTGACCTGGGAGCAGGTGGAAGGAGGCAGGTGCATGGAGATGGTTGCTGCTGTCAACAACAACAGCACTGTCCTGCACTGTCCCCCTGCAGCCGGCTGCTCCTGGGCCACAGACGTCCTAGAATGGCATTTTCCCATAGGAACATAAGATGAGCCACTGATACCAGCATCATTTAGAATCTCCTAGTAACTACGTTAAAAAAGTAAAAAAAGATACAATGAATTTTAGTAACATTTACTACAAGCCAAAATATCTCAAATAATATTGTTTCAACTTATCAATAACAAAATTACTCAGATATTTTACATTCTTTTTTTCTTACTGCGTCTTTAAACTCCCCTGCACATCCCACACATTGGGCCAGTCTACATTGGAGCAGCCACACAGCAAGGGCTCAATAGCCACATAGGACAGTGTGGTTCTAGAAGGTCCAGCAAGATGCTTTATAGGGTACAGGGAGGGGAAGTAGGGTCTTTGGTTTTTTTCCCCCGGGCTGGCTTGCTGGGCATCCTGTTTTTTTAAGACAGCCAGCTCTGGCCTTGGTTTGGCATCAGGGACTTCTAGGATTATAGAAAATCGTCACTGCATGTTCCACTTGATAGTCCCAAGTCCAGGAAAGATTGGCACAGCCCTGCAGTGTCAGTGGGACAAGGCTGCCACGTTCCGTCCTTCTTTCTGCAGAGCCCCGGGCCAGCATCTCCCCAATGAAAGTGCCCTTGCTAGTCATGGTGGGCACGGTGGTGGGCTGTGCTCTCACTATCTGTGCTGTGCTGGGCCTGCTGTGCCGGCGGCGGGCGAAGGGGCAGAGGTGAGCAGAAGGGAAGGAGGGGGCTGGAAGAACTTTGTGACCAGCGAGGGCCACCGGGGCCTGGGCCTGGGGCTGCCTCCCACATGCACCACATCACATGCAGCTTCCTGATGTAATCCCTCAGTCTCTCTCTCTTCCTCTCTCTCTCCCTCCTTCAGGGCAGAGAAGGATGGGTTTTCCCATGAGCTGATGCCCTACAGCCTACGGTGAGTATGCTTCCCAAGGACAGGGGAATGGTGACATGCCAGGGCCACCCAGGCAGCCTGCTCCTCTGTTTCACCCCAGACAGGGGCTCCAAGTCTCTGCTAGACTCCCGTTTGTGCCCTCTTCTTCCTCTTCCTCCAGACTCACTGAGTCAGGGTATTCCAGGAAAATAGGACCAAGGTGGGGGGTGGGGGTGGAGGGGTGCGGCTGGGGAGGGCGGTTTGAGAGAGAGAGAGAGAGAGAGAGAGAGAGAGAGAGAGAGAGAGATTTATTTAAAGAATCAGCTCATGTGATTGTGGAGGCTTGGTAGGTCTAAAACCTGGCCAAGGGTGGTAGCTCATTCCTGTGATCCCAGTGACTGGGGAAGTTGAGGCAAGAGTTTTTCAAGTTCAAGTCCAACCTAGGCAGCTAGGGAGACCCTGTCTGAAAATATAAAAAAAAGACTAGGGTCTAGCTCAGTGGTAAGGCAACTCTGGGTTCAATCCCCAGCACCAAACAACAAAGAACAAACAAACAAAAACAAAGCAAAAACCAAAATCTTACGGGGTAGGTCAGCAGGACAGACGCAGGGAGGCCAGCAGGGGGCACCTGGGAGAGTGGCTTCTCACTCAGGGGATGTCATTCTTTGTTCTATTAGATCTTCAGCTGGTTGGATAAGGTCACCCACATTTGGAGGAGTAATCTGCTGTATTCAAAGTCAGCCAATTTACGTGTGTATTTATTAAAAAAAAAAAAAAAACACACCTTCACAGCAATATCCTTTGACCCCATGGCTGGGCACTGTGGCCCAACCACATTGACAAATCAACCATCACATTTACCTACTCCAGTCCTTACCCGCTTTCTGACTGACCATGTAGATCGTGTCAGGTCGAATCTCTTCTCCTCATATTGACTTCCTGTTGGATTGGCATTAGTTGAGCACTGGGCTGTGTACAGATCCCTCTTCAGGGCCTGCAAGGGTGTCTAAAAGACTCGTGTGCATTCATGTATAGTTTCTGTCCCCTGCCCCCTCCCCTTCCATTCCCTTTTCTCAAATTTCCACACTGGCAGTTTGCAGCCCAGGCTGAGCATTGGAGGAACTTTCTGGAAAGGCTGCTCTACACCTGGGGCAGAGCTCAGGGTCTACAATTCCACCAGGCCCCCCTGCACCCTGTAGTCAGGCTGTGCAGCCAGTTCTATTTCTGTCACCCGGGGAGGGAAAGCAGGACTGCACGCCCAAGACTGGGGGCTCACTCCATTCTTCTCCCACCAGGCGGACCCACCGGCCCATCCCTATCCACAGCTTCCGCCAGAGCTTTGAGGCCAAGAGTGCCCATGCACACGAGGCTTTCTTTCAGGAGTTTGAGGTAAGACCTGCATTGTCCTCAGCCTCAGGGGAGGGAGCACCCTGGGGCATTGAGGCTGGTGGGGGGCCTGCCTCCCGATGTCCCACTCAGCACCCCTGCCCGCTCCTGTTGTGCGGGGAGATGATGGGTTTCATCATCCAGCGCCTGCCCCTCATCTCTGCAGGAGCTGAAGGAGGTGGGCAGGGAGCAGCCCAGACTGGAGGCTGAACACCCTGCCAACACCACCAAGAACCGTTACCCGCATGTGCTCCCATGTGAGTGCTGGGGGCAGGCTGGGGACATGGCAGAAGCAAGGGCTTGGCCTGGGGAGGAGGCTGCATGTGCTGGGGCCAGGAATAAATAGCTTTTCCTCTCTTCAGATGACCACTCCAGAGTCAGGCTGACCCCACTGGAAGGAGAGCCCCATTCCGACTATATCAATGCCAACTTCATCCCAGTAAGGACCATCTGCAGGGCCATTGTGGGTGCATCTGTTTGGGACATGGGTTGCTTTGCAGGATTTATTGTCCTTCCCTAGTTGTAGCAGTTTTCCATGAAGATCACCAGCTTGTTCTTTAAGGACATGCAGCAGATATGTTTTTGAGGGTCTACTGCATGTCAGGCTCTATGCTGGGCCCACCGGAGGCACAGTAGAGTTAGCCATCTTCAAGCCTTTGAAGGAGCACAGGTGTTGTGTGTGTGTGTGTGTGTGAGTGTGTGTATATGTGTGACCTCTACCACAAAGTGTGAGAAGTGCTGGAATAGGGGAACAAGCATAGTGCTTGTTAGGGCACATGGAAGAAGAAAAAAATTTGGTCCACCCGAGGAAGCAAATCAAGAAAGCCTTCCTAGCAGAGGGGGAATTTGATCTCTGGAAGGTTGAATAGAATTTTGATAAGAGCAAAAAGAGGTAAAGTCGGGCTGGGGTTGTGGCGCAGCCGTAGAGCACTCGCCAAGCACTTACGAGGCCCTGGGTTCGATCCTTAGCACCACAAAAAAATAAAAAATAAGTAAATAAACAATCAAATAAAATAAAGATATTAAAAAAAAGAAGAAGAAAAAGAGGGAAGGTCATTCTGGCTGGAAGAACATTCAGAGAACAGCCAGGCAGGAACATACAGGCAGTGTGTGTGTGTGTGTGTGTGTGTGTGTGTGTGTTGGTGGTGCTAATTCAAGGCGGGTGTCAGGTACAGGGAGATGGGAAAGGGAGATTGGGCAGGATTAAGGACAATCTTGATCCTTAGACCAAGGGCTTTGGATTCTCTTTGGTGGGCAATGGAGTCACATGGAAGGCTTGTGAGTATGGAAGAAAGGTAGAATTTGGCTTTGGGAAGGCCACTCCAGGCTCGTAAGAAGGGTGGGCTGGGTAGACTGTTCTGGCACTCAGTGTCTGGTGACTTTGTCGTAGGCTGTTCTCTCTCCTTTGGGGTAGGGTGTGAGTGGGTGGTGGTGTCTCTAAAGTAGCCCCTCCTGGTTTGAGCTCCTGAAGTTCAACATGTTCGTGTGCTTACACATGGACACAGGGTCCTCATTCCTGGAGGTCACACATGGTCCTATCGAAAGCTGTTATTTGGTGGGGACCAAGATGTCACATGTTTCTGCCCTTCACCCCACACCTTAGGGCTACACCCACCCGCAAGAATTCATCGCCACCCAGGGACCGCTCAAGAAAACGCTGGAGGACTTTTGGCGACTGGTGTGGGAGCAGCATGTCCACATCATTGTCATGCTGACCGTGGGCATGGAGAACGGGAGGGTGAGCGTGCCCTGCAGGTTCACAGAATGGCCACCAGGTGGCACACATCCTCCTTGCAGAACCGGTCCTCTTGGTCTAGCCTCTATCAGGGTGGGTCCAATAGATGGGAGAGAGGCCAATCAGGCCTGGCGGATGGTGGGGTCCCCAGGGTTGCCTAGGATGGGGAGGTACAGGGCTGATCCAGGTATGCAAACTCCCAGCTTGACTCAGTTTCCACTGGCTTCTTGCTCTGGGCGAGAAGGGGGAAGGGGTTAGGAGGGGAACGGGGATGTAGGGCAGCCTGCCTCCTGTCCTCTATAAGCCTGGGGTGTGCTGCCTCTGTGCCCTGCTCAGTGTAGCACCTGAGACAGAGGGGCTACTGAGCTTGAGGAAGGGCAGAAGGCTCCCAGGTCCGGGAGCTGTTCACTTTCTCAACAGAGCCAAAAGCTCTCTCAGAGTCCTCAGGGTCATATGAAGGTCCAGGGGTGAGGGTGCTGGAGCCCAGCTGGGGGAGGGGAGTTTCTGGAGGAGGTGGCCTCATCAAGGTGGCAAGGAACCAAAGAGATGGATAGAGAAGGTTGGGAATCAGTGAAGCAGGGGGTGGCAGTAACGGCTGAGCCCACAGCCATCTTTTCCCCTCTCTACCCTCTGTCCCTAGGTGCTGTGTGAACACTACTGGCCAGCCAACTCCAGCCCTGTTACCCATGGTCACATTACCATCCACCTCCTGGCTGAGGAGTCCGAGCATGAGTGGACCAAGAGGGAATTCCAACTGCAGCATGTGAGGGCCCCAGGGGGCAGGGCAGGGCGGGGTGGGCATCAGAGCTGAGACTCCCTGAGAAGGCACCCCACTTCCTGGGCCCCCATGGACCCCTTTCTTCTAAGTTTTCACAGCACTTGGCTACTACCAGGGGAATAGGTGGTTCAAGAAGGGGAAGAGAGGCAGAGGAGGTGAGGGCAGGGGTCACATGGTGAGGTAAAGAGAGATCCAAGTGAGAAGAGATCCACGCCACATGCAGCTCAGGACTTGCTGCTTACTCTGACCCTTGGTAAGTCTATGACCTCCTGGGACAAGAAAGCCAGAGACTAGAATCACCCTGCTGCCTGGGCACCCTCTGTAGGCAGAGATAATGTAGGAGGCTACAGGAGGACCCAAGCACTCAGGAAGCATCTACTCGGGTGGGAGGACATAACTACCACGCTTTGAGGCCGGTGGCCTCACTCCTGCCCTCGGAGCCGGTAATGATGTTTCAGGGCTGAGCACAGGGCCCTGGGGTTAGGAAGACAAGGAGCAATAGCAGAGTCCCTGCTCTGGCCCACCCACTCCTCAGGAAATCCAGCAAAAACAACGGAGGGTCAAGCAGATGCAGTTCACCACCTGGCCTGACCACAGCATCCCCGAGGCCCCCGGCTCCCTGCTCACCTTCGTGGAACTGGTTCGGGAGCAGGCAAGGGTCACCCAGGGCACGGGGCCCATCCTGGTACACTGCAGGTGAGGGGAGGTGGGAGTGCTGGGGGGGTGCTGCCTGGTCCGGAGTGGGGGGCAGGGCTCTGGGACTCTGGGGAGAGCTGAGGACACGGGGGCTATTTCCACAGTGCGGGTGTGGGCCGGACAGGCACCTTCGTGGCCCTGTCAAGGCTGCTGCAGCAGCTGGAGGAGGAGCAGATGGTAGACGTGTTCAATGCTGTGTACGCGCTGCGGCTGCACCGGCCCCTCATGATCCAGACCCCGGTGAGGGCCTCAGCGCGCTGGGCTAGGCAGCGCAGCCTGCAAGGGTGTGGGTGGGAGGGGTCCACAGGCCTGGAGAGACCAGAAGAAGGAGCTCATAGGGAACTATAGAGGACCCTGGGGTCCTTTCTGTAAAGGGAAGGATAGACAGGCTCCTGCCAGCTTTGACACCGTGGGACATATGGGAAGGTTCCAAAATGGCTCTCTTGTCTACCCTGCTAACATCCCTGCCTCGTACTGGGGTTGGGGCCTGGGTGGCCTCCCTGCTGGCCCATGCCCGTCCAGAGGCCTGATGCTCTCTCCCTCTGCCAGAGCCAGTACATCTTCCTGCACAGTTGCATCATGGACAGGATTCTGGAAGGACCCTCTGACACCTCTGAGTAAGTCCAGCTCCCCTGGGCCCTGGCCGATGGGGTGTGGTTCCCTGTGCTTTCCCACCAACAGGTTCCAGCTCCTGTCATGAGTACAGCCAGGAATTGTGGAAGCAAGAGCCGGGGAACCTGGAGTGCCTTCTCACCACTGCCCCGCGCCCCCCACAGGTGCAGGCCTATCTCAGTGAGGAACTTTGCCCAGGCATTTGCCCGGAGGGCGGCCAATGGCAATGCTGGCTTCTTGAAAGAGTACCAGGTACACTTCAGGCCAGGGAGTGGGGGACAGGCAAGGGTGGCATTCCCCTGGCCAGCCTCAGAGTGCCTGTCTCCGCCCAGCTCCTCCTGCAGGCCATTAAGGATGAGGCCAGCTCTTCAACCTCCCCTCCTGGCTACCAGCAGGACAGCACTGTCTCCTGTGAGTCTCAGTGGGAGCCCTGGGGTGGGGAGTGAGGGCAGAGGCCACCTCACCCTCACCGTCTTCCTGCAGATGATCGTTCTCAGGTGCAGTTTTCTCTGGTGGAGGAAAGCCCTTCTGACGACATGCCGGAAGCCTGGCTCTTCCCTGTGAGATGCTGGTCCTGCTGGCCTATTGCTTGCCCTCTCTGACCATTTGTGCTTCCCAGCCTGGGGATGGGGCTTTGGCGTCTCCTAGAGCCGTGGGGTGGGCAGGGGACTCCTCAGCCCATAAGAACCAATTGGCCGTGCTCTGCAGGGTGGGCCTTCTGGCTGTGACCACGTGGTGCTGACAGGCCCTGCGGGGCCAGAGGAACTCTGGGATCTGGTGTGGGAGCATGGGGCCCTTGTGCTGGTCTCCCTGTGCTCATCTGAGACCCAGGAGAAGGTGAGGGGGCACAGGAACAGAGGATGGGTGGCTGCAGGAGTTGGGGCAGAGCTCGGGGAATGTGTGTGACCAGAATGTGTGTGAGGACTTCAGGAAGCTGCCTGAGCAGTCCTCATTTGGTCCCAGCCACAGGAATTCTGGCCATCGGAGAAGCAGCCCATCATTACAGACATGGTGACAGTGCACTGGGTGGCCGAGAGCAACACAGCTGGCTGGCCCTGTACTCTCTTCAGGGTTACACATGTAGGTGTGGAGGCCATGGGGCATGGGGTGCTGGGCTAGGGGTGGGCAGAGTCCTGGCTGGCTTCCCTCTGCCCTCCTGGGCACCAGTGCTGACTGTGTCTTTGCCCAGGGGGAGAGCAGGAAGGAGAGGCAGGTGCAGCAGCTGCAGCTACCATGCTGGGAGCCTGGCCACGAGCTGCCCGCCACCACCCTGCTGCCCTTCCTGGCCGCCGTGGGTCAGTGCTGCTCCCGGGGCAAAAGCAAGAAGCCGAGCACACTGCTCAGCCACTCCAGGTGCTGTGGACACATCTTACTGAGTGCAGCTTGGGTCATGGGTCTAAATGACATAGTCTTCCAATGTCCCTGTCTACTCAGCACCTTGCCCTGTCCTCGGTGACATGACAGGGATTTGTCCCCTCTCTGCCTCAGCCCAGTTGACCAAAATACCTAGGGTCTTTCCCAGTCTCTGGACCCCGGTTTGGTTTCTCCATGTGCCCTCGATCCCCGCTCCCCTCCCTTCCCCTCCAGCTACCCCATCCAACTCTAAGTCAATTGCAGCAAGGGCATGACCCAGCTGGGCATCTTCCTGGCCATGGAGCAGTTACTGCAGCAGGCAGAGACTGAAAGCACGGTGGATGTTTTTAACGTGGCCCTGCAGCAGTCACAGGCCTGTGGGCTCATGACCCCAACACTGGTGAGAGGCAGCACGGGCTCAGATGTGGGAAGGCACTGGGAGGGTTCTGTCCCAGCCACAGGCTACCTCTAGGCGGCACCATGTATGTCACCACCAGGTGGCGCTATGGACCATTCTACTGGCCCAGATGGAGCCCTAGGGGTTAGGGGACACAGGGGACTGACCTTTCTGTATCAGGTTTGAGCCTCCTTGTTCATCTCTATCCCTAGGAGCAGTATATCTACCTCTACAACTGTCTGAATAGCGCACTGATGAATGGGATGACCTGAGTCCAGAAGCAGCCTGTGCCCTTCCAGCCATGGAGGACCAGTCCCCGCAAGATGACCTAGGCCTGGTTTCCCTGGGCGCCTGGTTGTGAAGCAACAGAGTTGTTGAATAAAAGCCTGTAGTCAAGCCTGAGCTGAGCATTCTGTCTGTCCATCCCCTGACATGGGCTCAACACAAGGCCTTGTTGGCAAACATGGAGCAGGGATGGGAGGTGAGGCCTGGGGTCCGGCTGAGCCAGGGAGCTACAGCCAGTAAGCTGTTAGCCTTTGCCCCGAAGCTCTTCTACTCCCCACTCCTCCAGGTTCCCAGTTTCCCAGTCTCCTCACACTTCATCTCTTTACCACTAGCATCCTGTGCCACTAGTTCCGGGATTCGTTGGAACTCACTGCGCCCCCTCCCCACCCACCTGCCCTGAATGAAGTAGGATTTGTCTGGTTCCTGACCTTCCTTCTCCTGCCAACCCTAGCCTTTACCTGCTAGAGTCTCTGCCGGCTCCTTTCCAGGGTAGAGGTTTGACAGTCCCATTGGAAGGCAGGAATCAGGGCTGACCCTTGGACCACAGTGGCCAAGTTTTCCCTGTTCCTTTGCAGTCTCCTCCTTCTTCCCTCCACATAGGAAGGAGATGGAGGAAGAAGCAATGAGAGGAAGTGCAGAAGGGAAAAGCCAGGAGACTGGATGAGGCTGACTGTCCCAGACTGGACTGTGCACTACAGGACATGAGTGCTCTGAGCCCACACCTGCCTCTGGGTCAGGATGGAGGGGTGTCTACTGCTGGACACTGATTGCCCCAGGTGGAAGGCCCTATGAGGACACAGAGAAAGCTTGACGAATCAGCACAGACCTCCCCTAAATTGAGTTAACCCCCCAACAGCCCTACATGGAGGAGGGTACAGTATTCTCACTGGCCAACTTGAGTTCTTAGTAATTTGCAAAGGCCAGAGGTCAGAGAGGATCCTCCTCAGGCCTGGTTAGGAAAGAGGAACAAAGGTAGGGATTTTTGCTCCATTAGGAACCTTCCCAGAATGAATTTAAACTCCTATGGTTCCCCAGGAGGAATGAATGTCAATGTCTTCTTCATAACCATGTTTATCAGGAACCCAAGAGATTGGCCCCTTTATGATCGTCCTCCATAGGCAACTGGAGGCAGCTCTGAGCTACCTAAGCCCACCTCAAGGGTCTGCTTATGAGGCTGCAACAGGGCTCAACAATGGTTTTTCCAGTCTGGACCCCTCACACTGGAACAGTAGGAGTGGGGAGAAGCCAAGGCTGTGGATGAGTAAGACCAGAAACACAGGCCTCCCTGAGGGGGCTTTCTGCCAAGAGCAGAGGACTTCTATCTGTGGTCTTTAGAGTTACATGGTGCCATCCTCTGGCCTTCCTAAGAGCTCATCTACTTTCTGGGCCATGATCTGAATTAGAGTACTAAGATCAGGGTCTACTGGCTCTTGGCTGGCTGTAACCCCAGGAGGTTAGCAGAGAGTGGAAAGGGATCAATGAGAGGGTCCTGGGACATGGAAGTGCAGGGTGGAAGGAATCATAGCTGCCTCTGAGCTCCCATGTTCCTGGTGTACACTCTGATGTTTTGTTTTTGCAGAACTGGGGATTAAACTCAGGGTCTTGCATAAGTTAGGAAAGCATGCTACCACTGAGCTACAGCCCCAGTCTTTTATTTTTTTTTTTTAATCAGGGTCTTGCTAAGTTGCCTAGGCAGGCCTTGAACTTGAAATTCTCCTGTCTCAACCTCTATAGTCACGGGGATTGCAGGCATCGCCACCTTGCCCAGCTCTGGAAAATACTCTGGACCGACCAGGGAAGACTTGGAGAAACTGGGCGGAGCACTGGGGCTCAGAGAGAAACCAGGAAAGCAGAGAAAACAAGAGGCCATATGAAGGAAGAATAACCAACCCACCATCATCTAAGGAGAGAACAGGGTCTTGACTCCAGTTTTAGCCACTATTGTCCTAGCTCTGGAAGGTCCCAGGGACGGCCAGAGAAGATCCTGTTGTTTGAGCATCTAGGTGGTTCAGGTGCAGATACAGCATTGAGCCTCCAGGTGGCGCCAAGATGCTGACTTTCTGGCAGGCTCTGACAACCAGCTGGGCATCCCCCAGCCCCTCAGCCTTCCTGGGTCCTGGGAACCTGCAGGATCAACCTGATCCCCAGACCTTTAACTTGACAGAGACTACTTGAATGCATTTCCATTCACTGTACACTCACTGGGTGGAAACCCACACCTGTTTCTTCCGTGTGGTGGCATGGCCTCTCAGTGAGGAGGCTCCTCACAGCCCACAACCTTTCATCCCTACTTTCCCTGGAATCTCCCCAGCCTGGTCCCTTCCAGGACAGCCCCCTCACTTCCCCCTCTCCCGTCTCTGACACTAGCGAGGTGAGGAGGGCTGACCCGTGCTCCAGTTCCAGTTGCCCTCCAATGGGCTGTGTGACCTTGAACAAATCACTTCTCTTGGGTCTTAGGTCCCTCAGGTGGAGACCCTTGTGGAGGGACTAGGGGCCTATGGGAACTGAGATGTCTCCCAAGGGCCTCCCCCGGGTCCCTATGATCCCGTGGCTGTCCTAAAAAGCAAGAGGGGCTGGAGTCCATCGGACCCCAGCTCTGGGGCACTCTTTCCAAACAAGTGCAGGTCTGAACTTTCCAAGCTCTGAATTTGTTTTCTTCCTTTTATTTTTTCTTTCTTTTCTTTTTTTCTTTTTCTTCTCTTTTCCCCCCTTTCCTGGATGAAATTCCTGCCAGCTCGGAAGGAAGGAGGGAAGGGGAGCGAGCAGCGTAGAAAGTTTCCTTGACTCCTCCTCCGCCTGTGTCTCCCTCCCTTGCCAAGCCCAGCCTGTGAAACTGAATAACGAAGATCACTCAACAATGCCTGCCCCTCTCTGACTGCACGGTCCCTGCGCTGCCGCCGCTGCCGCCGACGCCAAGGAGAGCCCGCGGGACAGTCCCCGCCGACGGTGCAGCCTGCCGGCCTGGCCTCCAGACCAGGAGGCGAGCAGCGGCGGTCACTGCGCCTGTGCGCCTGCCAGGTGCCCCGCAGCCCAGCCACCGAGATGCCCAGCCCGCTCGGGCTCCTGGCGCTGTGGCTTTGCGCCGCGCTGTGCGCCTCCCCGTGCGCAGGCGGCGTCCCCCAGCTGGGCCCGGGGCGTGCTGCCTGTCCGGTCCCCTGCCATTGCCAGGAGGATGGCATCATGCTGTCAGCCGACTGCTCTGAGCTCGGGCTCTCCACTGTGCCAGTGGACTTGGACCCCCTGACGGCATACCTGTGAGTACTCGCCACAGGTCTCCCCCTGCTCCTGCTGGCTGCCGGCTTGCACTGTTGTGGCAATAGTCTAGGGCACCTGCCTAGTTGGTGCACGGTGGTATGGGTATCCCGGGAGGGCTCTTGCCCTTCCAAGTCCACCGCTGCAGAGCTGGGGAGGGGAGTAAAGTCTGAGACTAAGGGTCAAGGGAGTATCGAGCCTGGGCTTCCCTTGCTGGGTTTCCCACTTGGCACCTGTGTGTTGTGGGGTTTCTGTGGGAGTCTAGGTCTGGCAAGGTGGGCTCTGGACCCTGAGCAGGAGGGATAATGAGTGTAGGGGTGACCTCTCCTCTTTCTGCTTTCCCCAGCAGAGCAGTGGCCAGCAGGGTGACTGAGGGCAAAACTGACTGGATTGGTGGGGAAGATGAGGAAGTGCACTCCCGTGGGGAGAATGGGGCACCATCCTTGGCTCCAGGAGGAGAGCAAGGCTGGCACACTGAGGCTGGGTGGCCTTGGTGAGGGGTCCCAAAAGCTGGGAGGGAGCCTCACCCTCGGTCATCTCTCAGAAAGGGACACTGCCAATGGCATCTCCTTTTGCTCAGGCCCCTGCCCCCTCCCTCCACCCCAGGAGCCTCCCTGAAGTCCAGTCTCCGGAGGGTTGTGTTGGAGACACTAATTTGTGGGCAGGCACTGGGGCTGAAAACCAGAGAACCATTTTTAGAGTCTATGTTGGGGTGAGATGGTGAGTGAAGGGGACCCTATTGGGGGCGGCTGTCCTGAGGATGGCTTCGAGGAGCTTCTCTCAGAACTGAGGGGCCAGGGGCTCTGGCTGCTCACCACTTGGTCAGAAGGGGGGGATGAGAGAACTTTCCAGACCACCTGGCTCCTCCCACCTCTGCTCTAGGGAAAGAGAATCTCCTCAATCTGTGCTCCCCCACGTAGCCCAGCGCCACCACCTTTCTTGAGAGAAGGTGGAGCAGGTGGTAAAGTCTGGGATCTACCTGGGATAGGATCCCAGAATTCTTTCTGGCCTGAGAGAGGCTCCACATAGCTTTGGAGTTCCAGGACAGAGGCCCTCTGAGGAAGGTGGAGCTGGCTAGTCTATATAGAGGCCCCGAAAGAGTGTGTTGAACTAAATGGGACCAGAGCTCTCAGGGTTGGCAATGTCTGGTAGTCGTGAAGGATCCTAAATTGCAACTTTTGGTGGGTCTGCCCTCCAATCTCCCTGTTCCCAGTTGGAATATCCCCCGCTGCTCCAAAAGGCACAGGCTATAAGCCAGGGGAGGGAAGGAAAAGGAGAAGATAATGTCCATCTTCCAGAAAGGTAAATTGAGCCCTGTATATCCAGGGGGTGACAGCAGGGACCACACAGGAAAACAAGACAGAAACTGTGAGCAGAGTCCTATGGCGTTTTAAATGTGCCACAGCAGCTGGCAGAGTCAGGCAGGCTCCAACCCCACCCCAGTTACAACAAAGCACCCCCACTTCTTGCTGTTCTATATACTGGGGCATATGATATTGTTTCATCTGAAGACAGGATCCTGCAGCTAAAACGAGTTTAAAGGTAACTTCTGTTGAGCCAGTCTCTGGAACAGACTTGCATGGGTTTCAAAGGTTGATCTGTCCAGACTCCTTTCCCAAGTCTTCCTACACTGGTCAGAGATCCTTTTTCAGGTAGGAATTGGGAAGGAGGGAGAGTGCCGCTTTTGGGGTCCCAGCATCCCGCCATCCATGCTCATAGGTTCCCTCTAGTATCT